GTTGGAGATCTCAAACTTGCAAATTATTCCTCAATAAAGGTGCTGTCATCCTTCAACAAAGAAATAACCTACAATACGATGCCGCAGTTAGTGCAAAGGAAACAAAAAGCCTAATATACTAACAACAAACACTAAAAATCTTACATTAGCATTATTTGAATGAATTATAGAATTGAGACTGGCAACTGTGGCCTCATTCAACACCCTTGCCAAAACAACATCCCGGAAAACGCAATCAAAAGCAAAAATTACACAAATAAAGACATGACTAGATACTAAATGTCAACCCAACATGCAGTTTAGAAAAATAATCAATTGTAAAGCTAATGAACATGAAAATAGAACAAGCATCAAACAACTTCAACCCGACGAACAATGCAAGATAATTGTTACACCTAAAAATTTCATGTAAAGAACTGTTTCTCGTATAATCAATAACTTGCAAAAACTGACATGTATTCTTCAATAATGACATGAAATCACACATCATAACTACTTGCAATAAAAGTTAAAATGTATCTTAGCAATTCTATGCAACTTTTAAAATATGAAGTTATTATGCAGAAGCTAAGACTCTAGTTTTGGATCAATAAATTACAGTTTAGCAGTTATATAAGTAAATTTGCAAAGTAAACATCCAAGTCAATCCAGCAATAGTCGCAGGTAATAAATCTGATAACAAATGATATCCATAATTAATTCATCCCTAAAAATTTTCTCCAAAACTTGAGGACTGTTGAGCAAAACTGTAAAGCAAATAATAACATAAACCACAGATCCATGAATCACCTGTAAAATACAAGCATGCCTTAACTAAGAAATAAGAGCATTCAAGTGAGAAAGAGTACTAACTTATCCCCTTGACTATTTTAAATATCATTTGAAGACCGTCTATATTTTCCAAGTCGCAGATTCTGAATAGCTCCATAAGCTTCTGGAAGATATCTTGCTGCATTAAAAGCAAACTCAATTCAGAATGTCTAAAATATTTTGAAACTAACATAGATGAAAAGTCAAGACAAAGATATTAAATCATAAAGTTGAAACTGAAACAATAAAAACCCAGAAATCAAATGATAAAGACACGACATCAGTAGGGAAAATATAAAAAGAACCACAAGCATTGTTATTTCAGTCGCATCAGCTCAATTCTCAAGTAATAGCAGGTACATTCACATCAAACAACTTTTATACCAACAGTAAAACTAAAGCAATATTCTTTCTGTATGCATAACATGAGACAGGCAAGCAAAATATCAGAGGAAGGGAAGAGAAAAGAGAGAAAATGAGAGGGAAGGGTCACCTTAGAAGAGACATTTACACTGCTAAGAAAACCTGCACAAAAGAGAAAAAAAACCTATTAGAAGGAATACATATAAAAAGACAAAGTGAAAAAGAAAAATCAAATTCAAGACTTACCTATTTGATCATCAAAGAAATCTCTTAATTACAAGAAAACAAGATCACAGTAAATTCACCCTTCTTCCTCATTTTGATTCCACACCCATACATACAAATCTCTTAGTATTGCATTCAATATAATTTTCCAGTTCTCATACCAAGGATCTTGTACATAAAATACTTGTTTTGCTTGGGAAGCAAATACAAAAGGTTCATCTTTTAGATCCTTGCTCGTATGAATTAAATTTGAGGAATTCACAAGGGTAAATCCATATTGATCCTTCTTAATGCCCTTGCCTTCATTAAGGCTAACCCAATCACTCCTAAACAATTTAGCGAAAATGAGTTAAAAACTCTCAGTAGGTGAAGGTGCTTATGAGCTCAAGAAACTCTGATTCAAAATGCAAGAACTAATAAAATACAAAATAACATACCCCACAACTTATTCCCTAAACTTCAACTAAACCCACGTTTGGTCCTTCCTAACAATTGCTGCAAACATTCAATTCTTTCCATTCACGAGAACTTAGAAAAATGGAAAATAGACACTGTCATCATACTAATGTAGCACAAGACATTGACCAAGGCAATCAAGAATCTATATTTTTATAGTTTACTGACTCCACAACAAAATGTTCAAGGAACTAGGTTCAATCGGTTAAATTTGTTGTTCACACATTGTACCAAATCACAAATCACAAGAAAAAACCACTTAGAATTGAGATTGAACTTGACCAAACAACAAAATCAAGATAAGCTGCATCAAATAAGACTTAATCTCGATCGAAATAAAAAAAATATATTGTTAACCATTTCGTTCATTACAAAATCAGAATCAAAATGAAGAGAGATAGGAAGTACCTGTTTCAAAACGACACTAACGGAGAAAATGACAACGATTGAGCTGAAACTGGACAGGAAAAAATCAGGGATTTTTTAAAAATTAAGAAAAGATTTGTTAGATTTTTGTCTCTAAACTGATTTGAAAATTATAGACGTAAAAATGTGAAAAAGATAGAGGATTAGCGGAAGATGAAGATAGTAATCTCATGGAGAGCAAATGCACTTGGCTTAGATGGAAATGCAGAGGCTTAGCAGAGATATTGTTACAAAAACACAAATGCACAGGCTTTCTTTCAACGCAAAATAAAGGGGGCCGGCATTAGCAGAGAGTTTTGTAGAGTGGAGATGCAGAAATGAACTAAAGGAAAAGTGGAGAGTTTTTTTAGTGGGTTAAGCCCATGCAGCTGTAGAAAGCAATGATATTCTCGGCACAAACGAGTTTGTTATTTTTGGCAAGTTGGCTGTGTGTGCACATATTATCATCCCTTCACTATCTCATATAATCACTCCTATTCCATCCAGTTTTCGCTCTCCGTCAAGGCCCCATCGAAGTTTACTTTATAGCAGTCACTAATTGAGAGTTTCCATTTTTGAGATACCCATTTGGCGTTTGCTGCATTATGATCTGTTTCTGCTGAGCTTGGTTGAATTCCAGCAAGAAAGTTTTGATGAATGTTGCTGATGCGAGTAAACTCCTTTGCTCTCTATGAACCTCATTATTTCGATCGTTCCATATGCTATCGCAAACAATTGGAATTGTTCATACTTAAGTTTCATAATCATCTTAGGGAACCAACCTGTACTCTCTTGCTGCACTTTATTATCGTACTCCCACTAATGGTTTAGGTATTCCCATACTAATGTTGCCAAAGGACATTCACCACCCTGCACCGCAAGCAAGTTTTCTCCACTGGAATCTGCCTTCTAGCCAAATTAACCATTACCTGTATAATACCGTGACAAACCCGCCACATGAAAGTCCTAATCTTTGCTGCATTTACATCAGTTCCTTGAATTGATCGACATAACATCCCTTTAATATTAGTATAGATATAGATATTTATAGTCATACACTCCCAACTGAATTTGATGTCTCAAGTAATACCAGCTAGTTGGGTGAATTCGCAAAAAACTTATTATAAAAAATTTAAATAAAAGATACAAATATGTTTTCACTTTAAAAAATTACTCATCTTTTTTTACATATTATTTTTTTCAAAACACAATTTTGTTCAAAGCAACAATTTTTTCAGTGTGTCAAAAGTCTAATGCTAATATAAAATTTTTGGTTAAATTTGATGTTATGAGTCTAATGACACAAGTTCAGTTGAGTGAATTGATAAAAAAATAAATAACAATATAAAAAAATTTAAAAATTAAAAAAATACATTTTTCTGGTAAGCCACAATTTATTAATGTAACTCAAAGGTTACGAGGCTAGCTGTAGCTAGAAAAGAAAAGATCCATACACCAGTACAACCCACATGATGCATCAAAGAGAACCCAAATGTGAACACTATAACAAAGAACCTAATATCAAGGTACTACACCAAAGAACAATTACACCCAAGTACCCAACACTTCATGATGTAAACACCTATGATAAAACTCACCCTACTATGGCTATGAAAAAAAACTTTGAAGAAACATCCATAAAAAGGAGAGGTTATTGATATGCTTCACGTATAAATTAAAAGACACATACGCCTATCCGCTTTAAAAAATATATATACCTGCATAAACTTTTTTTACAAATTTATTTTCAATACATTATTTTTCACCCACATAGTGGATGTCTCAAATTCTAGTAAATCAAAATGAAAAAAACTAAAGGCAAGTCATTAAAAATTACTTAAATCTAAACTTATTTGAAAAATCTAAAGGTAATTTTTTTCAAAAAATTTTTATTTCCCTTTAACAATTTAACTTTATTTTTAATGATACAAGTTCATCGGCAAACAAATTTTTACAAAAATACAAAAAGAAAAAGAGAGCAAAATCTCAAAAGGAAAAAGAAAAGGAAAGGCAATCCAAATTATTTTGGGGCTTTCTAAGCCCAAATTAAACATAAATGGTAGTCCAAAATTTGTGAAAAAATAGCAAAAATGAAAAGAAGAAAAAAAAAGCATTGGTTGTTTTCTTTATTTGCAATGAAGGATGTATTAGGTGGCACTCTCAATTCCTCACGAAATGTCCATTTTTCTTAGCAATGGCTCGAAAAGAAATCCCTTAAATCAAAGCCAAATAAAAAAAAATTTTAATAAGAAGTCATATAATATTTAATTATATGTATAAAATTTATACTACATATTTTTTTGGGTTTCACTAACATCATAATGATCCTAGAAATAAATTTTTGAAAATCAATAATAAAATACCACATTATATTTTTTTAAAAGATTGAAACTAATATCACACTTCTATGAGAGCAAAACCAAATTAATCCATAATAGCCTTTAATCCTTAACTAACCTATTTATGTATGAAAGTGAAACCAAACTAATCCATAATAACCTTTCTCCTTAATTAACATATTTAACAAGTAATAACTAACCATTAATTGAAAAAATATGAATTAGGGCTTTAATGAAAAAATGAAGAAGCTCTAGCAATTTCTCCTCTCTTTTCTCATCTTCTCAATTTTTTCATTAATTTTGATTAAAAATTACCTCTTTTAGATTAGGCTTTAGGTTTTTAGTCAAAAATGTATCGAAAACTTCTCTTCGTTTTTTTTTTTTTTCTCAGTTAACAAACTTTTATTGATCAGAAACAGTCTTTACACCTGATAACAATATTTCCAGAAACTACCTATTCACCACAGGAAATATTATCATATTACAGCCATGCCTAAAACAAACTAAGACTGTACCCCCCTTCCTTGCCAATGAATCAGCAAAGTAATTGGCTTCTTTAAAAATGTGTACAAACTTAACCTCTCCTATGATTTCCAGTAGCCTATCAATTTCCGCAAATATCAAACTCACTGCTACTTTTGAATCTGGTTCCAAAACTAGAGCTCCCTTTCCCAGCCAAGGTGAAGAAGAAACATTTGAAGTGCAGTCTTAATGGCCAAAACTTCTGAAGTATTTGACTCCTGATCACCAAGAGGGCCACAAAACAAACCTTTAATATTCCCCTCGCAGTCTCTAAGAACATCACCGCACTGATATCTCTTCCATAAATATTTATCATTTTTTGCTAGAAGTTACAGCCATCTATAGCAAAGAACAAAAGAGAATGGAATCAAATCTTCATTGGGAGTTTTTTTTTTTTTTTTTTTGAGATAAGTGATTAACTTTTTATCTTAAGTTGTTATCAATATTTTTAGATGAAGATTTGAGAAAACGATTTAGGTTGGTCTATTTTTTAAAATTTTATTTTAATTAATTATTTTTAAATAAGTTAATTAGTGTTAGATTTAAAATCAATTTGACTTGATGTTGGTAGTGTATAGTACTATCAATGATCATTTCTAATTAAAATTTGATACCCTTAATTTTTTTATATTTGAGATATGTCAGAATAAAATCATGATCATAATAGGGTTTTAATGCCAATATTAACTACCAAATGACTGCAAGATATTATTAGCATTTTATATAATCAACAATATATAAATAGATTATATTTTTGAAAATTAATAAATGATAACCTCTAACATTAATTTAACCCAACTAACTCTCCTTTCCCCAAATCTAAAATATAAATGATAAATTTAAATATATCTTATCCCATTATTAGAAAAAAAATTGAATAACATTATTTTATAATTGCTAATCTCTATATATAATTGTTTGAGTGTATCCATGTACATAATTGGACAACTATTATAGTATAATAGATTTGATTTTTTTTAGTCATTTTACTTGTCTTTTGTTGTAAAAAATAGATAAAATTTTATTTTTATTATTTAAATTTCGTGGAATCAATGCAGAAAAAAAAACCAAAATTTTCTATGAATATATATAATTTTATTTTATTTAAATTTAGTTGGATCAATGTAGAAAAAAACCAAAAAACTCTATGAACATATATATATATATATATATATATATATTCATATCTACGTTCCTGACTATAGCCGTGGTTTCCAATCGATACCTCATGGATGCAAACCCTATATAATTTTTTAGGATAAGTGTCATTAGATGAAATTAAGTAATTCAATTTACAAATGTTAAGTTGATGTTCTGGATCCTTAGTAATAAGGTATAGATTAATTTTAATCTTTTCTCATTCTCCATTAATCAGTGATTTAAAAATAAATATTTTAAAAAATTAATATAATCAATTTTATTAGAAATAATTAAATGTGTTTTATTTTTTGTAATCTTCGTATAGCAATTATTAATTATTTGTGGACCTGCTGTACTTATCTTATGATTATTTATTGGTTTATATGTGATCAAATTTACACATAAGTTCTTTGCGGTGAAAGAGGATGAGGATTTTACTCCATTATTTCATTTTCTTTCATGTAAATGCTACAGTTAGATATGAGGTTATTCTTTTTTTTTTAAATGTTTTTTCCTTTGATACCTTTGCTGTTTTGTTTTTATTATTTTTTTATGTTTTTAAAATTTTTTTTTATTTTTAATTTTTGAATAAAGTAGTATGAGGGTTGTTTTTTTAAAGAGAAACTCTTTGAACTTTTGAAATCATTATTTATATGGTATATATTATTTAAGCTTTTTTTAAAAATAAAAATTAACCATGCAAAGAATGGATTCAAAAATTCTAGTTTTTTTTTAATTGTTATAATCATAATCAAGTATTACATTCATATAATTAACTGAATAATCAATTATTATATCATAATCAAATTACAATTACTGAATAATTAACTAATAAATTATAATATAACTACTAAGTCATGATCTCATTGTTGCTTTGGAAGATTCAACATTTAATTTATTTAGTTGATGGGGTTTGCATGAGTATGAGATACAAAAACCTAATTTTTTTTATTTTGGAATAATTTATAACCCTATAAAAGAAAATAATTGCATTTTGCGATCAAAATGATATTTTCAACAATAAATGCTTATTTGGCCCATTTTATAAACTAAAACTAATTTCTGAAAGACAACAAATATTAAGTAATTTTAAATAAAAATAAACCTTTATAAAAGAGCTAGAAATGAGAAATTGAAAAAAAAAAAACACATTCTTGAATATTTCATATTACTTTAATATGATAGAATTTCTTTTAAAAAATTTTATATATTCTTAATTATTGACTTATTGTGATGTATTTCATTTAAAATTCAATTCTTACTAATACAACTAGTATTGTTTTTGTTTAAAATCTAATTTTTTAAGCATCAAAGAAAATGAATTGAAAAAGCTTTTTACGATCGATATAAAATCTGGTTAAAACAAACGAATCCAACCAATTCAACTTTAGAAAATATCAACTTTATCCATGTCTTCACCACATTCAAACAAAAGGCAAATCATAAGAGCTCCCATGACACCTAAGCACATCTTTTGAAGATGTATAACTCAAGAAAATTGCCCACAATTGAGTAGCGATAGGTAGTGATGCAACTCTCAATGAAAGAAAACCATGCTTGTCGCCAATATGGATTTATGTATAGAACAACAGAAATTCCTAATAAAACAATTACATATGAAACCAGAAAGCTCACACAAAAAACATATGTGTCCATGAAACTACCTTCTCCTTCATCGTCTGCTGTAGTTGGTGCTGTTGATGGTGACTCAGTTTTAGAGCAGTTATTTTGCAATGGAGCTCCACAGAGAAGAGGGTTTCCTTCGTAACTCCTTTCATCAAAGGTCCCAAACTGAGCTTTTGGTTTTGGAATATTACCTGACAAGTTGTTGTGTGCCACGCTGAAAACCTCTAGAAAGTTCAACTCAACCAGCTGTACAGGGATTCTACCAGTCAAGTTGTTATAAGAAAGGTCCAAACTCTCGATTTGCTTAAGCTTTGAAAATGATGAGGGTATGACTCCGATCAAGTTATTGTGTGATAAGTTTAACGAATGGATTTCACTCAAGTTTCCCAATTCGAGTGGGATTTGCCCAGTTAACTTGTTGCAAGATAAATCAATCCCAGACATATACTCAAGAATGTCACCACCATATGTGTAGGACATACTCTTTGTTGTAAACTCTATCTCTTCTACCATGTAGCTTTTGGGATAACCAAGTGAATTAATTGAAATAGATAGATCCTTCAGTGTATATCCTATATACCAAGAGTTATCTACAAAAGACTTTTCCTTGTTCATTGCCAGAGTTAAATTACCCAAAAAAGAAGGTATAGGACCAGAAAACATATTTCCAGAAAGATCTACGATGCTCAATGAATACAACTTGCATAATTGAACTGGAATTCCACCGTCTAGATGATTATCTTTCAAAAGAAGGACGCTTAAAGCAGAAAGTGTGCTAATCCATTTTGGAATATTACCGGTTAAATTATTCCCTCTAAGATCTAATGTCACTAATGAAGAACTGTTAAAAGCAAGTGGCAATAGACCCCTTAGTTTGTTTCTCTTCAAGTGGACATGTCTCAAATATGGTGTATTGAAACAAGAAGGAATAGAGCCGGATAAATTGTTTTGAGAAAGCTCTAAAAATTCAAGCTTATACAAGTTGCACAAATCCATTGGAATAGAACCTTTAAAATGATTGTTGGACAAAGCCAATCTCTTCAAATACGATACATTCCCTATCCATCTTGGGAGCTTTCCATTAAAACTGTTATTACTGAGATCAATTTCCTCTAGTGATGAATGTGAAAAATCAGTAGCAGAAACATCAATATCCAGAATCTCTCCAGCAAAGTTATTACCATCCAAATACAAATTTGACAACTTGCTCGTGTTGAACATCATAGGAACAATCATTCCACTTAGATTGTTATTTGATAGCCTAAGAATACCTAATGAGCTTCTCATGATCAACTCTTCTGGTACTCTTCCAGACAAATGATTGTCCGATAGGTCTAAAACTGATAAAGTGTTCATGCCACCTAAGCAAGGAGGGATATTACCTTTAATGGCATTCTTAGATAAGAATAAGAATTCCAAATTTGGAAAAGTTGAACATATATTTGTTGGAATTTGACCTTGTAATTTGTTATTAGATATGTCAATTAAAGACATATGAGGATTAAGAAACTGTGATAACAAGAGAAGACCAGTGAAAGAATTACCCAACAAGAGGAGATTTCCTAATTTTTTGTTGTTTTCTGACAACCATAATGGGACTGTTCCACTAAAATTGTTATGGGAAAGATCAACATATATCAAGTCATATTGGTAATAAAGGAAATTAGGAGGTTGTAGACTAAGTCCTTTATCTGTTGTACAGTTTGACAAACTGATGATATTTAGTTGGAACTTCGGAATTGAAGCATGAAAGGGATTAGGTTCCATTATCATCTTGTTTTCATCACCCAAGAGAATCTTGAGATTTGGAAGGTTTGCAAGTGACAAGAATGGCATTGAAATTTGAAAGTGATTTGTTGAAAAGGAGATGAATCTAAGTGATGAAAGATTTGCTAAAGGCGTCAAACTTCCAGTAAATTGATTGTAGGAGATATCTAACTCAATAAGAGATGTCAAATTACCCAAACAGTAAGGAAGTATCCCCTCAAGTGCATTCCAACTGATATCCAACGTTTCAAGCTTCCTTAGATCACACCAACCTATAAATTTTATAAATTCATAGAAGAAATTTTAATTAAATTTTTTTTTCCAAAACAGAATATATATAAAAGATATTAGGTGAAAGAAATAGAATAAAGGATTATTGGAAATAGATGTATTCCATGAGTTATATTGGAGAAATTATAGTCTTTAATTTACCTTGATTAGGTAAGGAACCAATAAGTCCACAGTTATGTAAAGACAAAGTTTTGAGAGAAGTGAATACTCCAATGCTTTGCAAAACGTTGTTGTCCAGATAGGACTTGTCCAAAAATATTTTCTCCACATTGTTCCATACATGCAATTCTGAATAATCATAGCATAGGAGGTATTATTAGATGTTAATCAACAAACATCTACTAATTTACGTCCTTTTGGAGTAAATTAGTGACTTACCTTGATCTTGAGTAACCATAGTCTTGTTTAAGCAATTCTCTCGTAGATAGAAGCTCTTAACTGATGGGAATGCCTCTACTAATTTGAGTAATAATGGAATGCTTCCATTGGTGAAAACCCCATTTAGGCAAAGGACTTCTAACTTTTTCAAACTCTTATACTCTGTAAATGAAAAAAAATAAACAAGTGAAAATTTTCATTTTTGTAGATAAGATTATATATTCAAGATTTATTTAAGATGAATTTTTAATAGAGAAGAATATTGAAATGTTAAATATTTTTAATATAAATTTTAATATACGAAACAATCAAAAAGATGAAAATCAAACAAAACGGTAACATGAAAAGGCAAAATTTTTTAAACGGTAATAAGAATGCGTAGTAATCTAAAATAGAATGACAAAAGGCAAACAAGTTCAACTCTAAGACACAACAAGGTAATACAAACAAAAAGGGCAATATTTGATATGCCGTTGCAACACTTCTTAAAGAAAGCAATTATCTAAGGCAAATATGTATCATTTTCTAATTAGTAATCAATTACAATCAATTTCTTCCTTTAAAAATTGGCCATTAATTCTAATAAGAGCATTTCACCTATAATCATTGTAATACGATTAAGCAATCACAATTCAAAATTGCATGAGGTCTAACAAAATTTTATGTGGAGGTCACATTATAAATGATAGATTCTTACGTAATTCTTTATTATAATTAGAGAATTGTAGTATTGTAGTAAAAAGCATATAATAATAATTAATTTCTTCCTTTAAAAAATTGAGTATTAAATTTTAATATGCTAAATTTGTTGATCATTAAAACATCTACATCATTATAACCTCACAAATAAAAATAGAAAATTTACTTAAATCCATACCTTTACAGGCCACAAATTCATTCAGATCATTAGAGCTCATATCTAGTTCCTCTAAGTTGATAAAAGCACCCAAGTCTGGAAAAAAAATAATAAATAAACGTCATTAAATCACCTGAAAACGTGAAATTTGTTTTTTTTAAGTATTTATAATAGAGTTGAAATTTTGGTTGAAAAGTAATAATTAATTAGATTATGACTTAAATCAAGCATTTAGAAATTGGTCAATTTTAACTGTCTCCCAATATCTATAAATAATTTACATAATTTCATCATTAAAGAAAAAAATAGATGATCTTATTTGTTATATCATCTTGAAACATGAATTAAGATTTTTGTTAACAAATTCAAAATTTTTGCCAAAAAAGTAATGTTACCTTTCATATCTATTGATCCATTTAACTGATTGGAGCTTATATCCAAATACTTCAAATTTGAAAGCCCGCTAAGTAATGCAAATATGCTGTCCTTAATGAGATTACCACTCAAATCAAATTCTTCTAAATGGGTTAAGTTCAGCTGTCTCCCACTATCTACATAAGGTTTACATAATTTCATCACTAAAAAAAGATTTACATAATATTTAATTATATATAACAATGTAACTAATTGAGCAAATATAAATGCATACCTCGTAAGGATTGAAGGCTTTCAATTCTGTTGTAGTATAAATACAACTTCTTCAAATTCATCAAATTATTCAATTCTATGTCCAAGTTCAATTCAAATAATCATTATGTTAGCCTGGTTACTCAAATAATCTTTTACTAAATATTTTTAATGACTTTATAATGAAGTAAACGGCAAAACAAATCTAAAGCTTTAAGTGAAGAGGAAAAATCCCCAAATGTGATATGAGATTTTACCTATTTGATGAGCAAAAAGGTTCTAAAACAGAATTAAAAAAAAAAAAAAAGCTGTAATAGCTTTACCTTCAATATCTATTGAGCCTTGCAATTGGTTGTCCCCCATATTCAGGGACTTTAGACTTGGAAGGCCAGAAAGGAATGCAAAAGTATCGTTCTTGAAGAGATTACTACTTAAATCAAGAACCTCCAAATTGGTCATCCTTAGTTGCATCTCCTTTCCTGTAGAAGAATATATCTATTATATGCCATTGTTAATGGGAAATTTTATGCATTGATCACGTAAATAAGAACTTAATTAAGTGAATTGAAATATATATTTATACCTTGCTTTGATGGTTGAAAGCTTTCAATTCTATTGCTGCTTAAATCCAAGTTCTTCAAATTTGTCAAATTATTCAATCCTATTCAATGCCAATCAATAATTAATAGTTCATATTAAAGCAAATGATATGCAACACCTTTTTCTAAAACAACAATTGATTTGAACGTAAAAGAAAGATAAAGCAAGTTTAACTATTTGATAAGCAAAAAGGTTCTAAAACAGAATTAAAAAAAAAAAAAAAAGCTGTAATAGCTTTACCGTCAATATCTATTGAGCCTTGCAATTGGTTGTCCCTCATACTCAGGGACTTTAGACTTGGAAGGCCAGAAAGGAATGCAAAAGTGTCGTTCTTGAAGAGATTACTACTTAAATCAAGAACCTCCAAATTAGTCATCCTTAGTTGCATCTCCTTTCCTGTAGAAGAATATTTCTATTATATGCCATTGTTAATGGGAAATTTTATACATTGATCACGTAATTAAGAACTTCATTAAGTGAATTGAAATATATATTTATACCTTGCTTTGATGGTTGAAAGCTTTCAATTCTATTGCTGCTTAAATCCAAGTTCTTCAAATTTGTCAAATTATTCAATCCTATTCAATGCCAATCAATAATTAATAGTTCATATTAAAGCAAATGATATGCAACACCTTTTTCTAAAACAACAATTGATTTGAACGTAAAAGAAAGATAAAGCAAGTAACTATTTGATGAGCAAAAAGGTTCTAAAACAGAATTAAAAAAAAAAAAAGTTGTAATAGCTTTACCTTCAATATCTATTGAGCCTTTCAATTGGTTGTCCCCCATATTCAGGGACTTTAGACTTGGAAGGCCAGAAAGGAATGCAAAAGTGTCGTTCTTGAAGAGATTACTACTTAAATCAAGAACCTCCAAATTAGTCATCCTTAGTTGCATCTCCTTTCCTGTAGAAGAATATTTCTATTATATGCCATTGTTAATGGGAAATTTTATACATTGATCACGTAATTAAGAACTTCATTAAGTGAATTGAAATATATATTTATACCTTGCTTTGATGGTTGAAAGCTTTCAATTCTATTGCTGCTTAAATCCAAGTTCTTCAAATTTGTCAAATTATTCAATCCTATTCAATGCCAATCAATAATTAATAGTTCATATTAAAGCAAATGATATGCAACACCTTTTTCTAAAACAACAATTGATTTGAACGTAAAAGAAAGATAAAGCAAGTAACTATTTGATGAGCAAAAAGGTTCTAAAACAGAATTAAAAAAAAAAAAAGTTGTAATAGCTTTACCTTCAATATCTATTGAGCCTTTCAATTGGTTGTCCCCCATATTCAGGGACTTTAGACTTGGAAGGCCAGAAAGGAATGCAAAAGTGTCGTTCTTGAAAAGATTACTACTTAAATCAAGAACCTCCAAATTGGTCATCCTTAGTTGCATCTCCTTTCCTGTAGAAGAATATTTCTATTATATGCCATTGTTAATCGGAAATTTTATGCATTGATCACGTAAATAAGAACTTAATTAAGTGAATTGAAATATATATTTATACCTTGCTTTGATGGTTGAAAGCTTTCAATTCTATTGCTGCTTAAATCCAAGTTCTTCAAATTTGTCAAATTATTCAATCCTATTCAATGCCAATCAATAATTAATAGTTCATATTAAAGCAAATGATATGCAACACCTTTTTCTAAAACAACAATTGATTTGAACGTAAAAGAAAGATAAAGCAAGTACCTATTTGATGAGCAAAAAGGTTCTAAAACAGAATTAAAAAAAAAAAAAAAAGCTGTAATAGCTTTACCTTCAATATCTATTGAACCTTGCAATTGGTTGTCCCCCATATTCAGGGACTTTAGACTTGGAAGGCCAGAAAGGAATGCAAAAGTGTCGTTCTTGAAGAGATTACTACTTAAATCAAGAACCTCCAAATTGGTCATCCTTAGTTGCATCTCCTTTCCTGTAGAAGAATATTTCTATTATATGCCATTGTTAATCGGAAATTTTATGCATTGATCACGTAAATAAGAACCTAATTAAGTGAATTGAAATATATATTTATACCTTGCTTTGATGGTTGAAAGCTTTCAATTCTATTGCTGCTTAAATCCAAGTTCTTCAAATTTGTCAAATTATTCAATCCTATTCAATGCCAATGAATAATTAATAGTTCATATTAAAGCAAATGATATGCAACACCTTTTTCCAAAACAACAATTGATTTGAACGTAAAAGAAAGATAAAGCAAGTTTATCATGAATATGAGTGGTTCCTTCCAAGTGATTTGTACTCAAACTTAAAATCCTTAAAGATGAAAGACCATTCATATGAAACAATATGTTATTTTTCAAAGAATTTTCCCCTAAATCAAGAGTTTTCAAATTACTAAGTCTTGAAAGCCATTGAAAACCTGTAACGAAAAAAGATTAGTATTTTAATTAATGTATATAATTCATAATCATAATTAGATTGGTTTTAACTCTACCGTTTGCATAAGTTGATCCTATGAACAAGTTTCCTGCTAGATATAAATCCTTGAGAGATGAAAGCTGACTCAAAGATAATAAAATTGTATCATTGAGGTAATTGTAACTTAAATAAAGGATCTCCAAATTTAGCTTTGCAAAACCTGCAAGAGAGTTCTTTTAAATATATAATAAGGACTTAGTGGCTTTTCATCAATAAAACAAAAATAGAATTAAATATGAAATTGTAAAAATGAAGAACCGATGAATGACTTTTCATATTGCAAATTAAGAATGAAATAATTGAAGATGAAAAGGCAAAAGCGACCTTCACTTTCAACAAAACCAGCGATGTTATTCCCTGTCAAATAAAGATGCTTCAGTTCCTTGAAAGGAAGAAACAAGGAGGCATTAAGATACCATCTTTCGTCGTCGAACCATCTTGTATTATTAAGAGAGAGTCCTATGACTCGCTTGGAGGAGAAGGAGGAGGAGGTGTTGCACTCGACCCTATCCCATTGACAGCAATCTGAACCCTTGATCTCATCAACCCAGCTGTTCAGATCGTTGTGAGGATTGAAGAAAGGTTTGAGTTGCAAGAGAGTAATCCTCTCTTCCTCCCAACAGGCATCAGTACTATACCATCTGCATCCTTCTAACAACAACAACAACACACTCAACAACAACCATTTGGGTTCCATCTCTCTTTTTCTTTATATATGATCTTTTTATTTTCAATTCTCTCTTAACTGCTAGTTCTAAATATATAACGATAAGCCTTGCATCAAGCTTAATATATATAGACAATCAAGGTGGTCTTCGATCGTTTAGACTCCGTGTTGTAGGAAAGAAAGAAAAGGGAAAGTAAAATAAATATTAGAACTTTTTTCCCCTCGTCCTTTCCTTCTTACCAAAAGGAGTGTTAGTCTCTTTCTTTGTCTTCGCTCATCTGTGGTAAATTCTACTATTTTTGGAATTGAAATTTATATAAAATAGTCACTGAAATCACTCTGTCGAAAGTGGCCGACATAATTTAGAAAAAAATTTTGCAATAAGACAATGACTTTTATTTTCCTCAAATTAAAAATCATATTTAGAGCAAAATTGTCTCAATAATAAGAAAGAGGGATTGGAAGCATTAGGTTTTATGATCAAATCTCATTGTATATATGTTGGATTTAATTTAAATTTTCTGTAAATATACTATTTTTCTATTATTCAGTTGTTTTGGTTATTATTTTTTTTTGTACCAATGATCAATCTTGATAAAAAAATCATTCATTTCACAATCGTTCTCTTAGTTGTTATAGTTGGAGTACTTGTTAAACCCAACTACTTTCTAGGCTATTGGTCAAAAGATTTAGATCCAGTCCTAAATATGATTTTTTTAAGGCTTGAGTTCAACGTTGAGAATTTTATTATATTAATAAATAATATATTTTAATTAAAATTTAATTTTATAATATTAATATAAAATATTTTTAACATTTTAATAACAAATTTAATTGAAATAAGTAAATGAGTTTGGGAACATTTCACCTATAATTTTTTTATAACAATATTATAATTATTTAATTACATTAAGAAATTATACATGGGTCCACCACTTATAAGTGTGATTTTTATATAAAATTTTAATAAATCTCACATAATTTAAATTGTGATTAGTTACTATAATAATTGTAAATGATACAATTGATTTTTCTTTTTTTTTTTTTTTTCATTTTGTAATAAATACTTTAGGGCATAATGTGACTTACGTGAAATCGTGGAGTATGGGTTAAAAATTGTTTCCACGTTTTTATTTCTTCCTGGAAGAACCTTTTATTGCATGTTCCATTTGATTTCTATTTTTTTTAAAGGCATTTCATATTTACTTTTAAATCTATAAGTCTATAACATCTAATATAGCATTGTTTGAAAGGATCTTCACATTGGCGTCAACCTTAAATTTCACATTGTCTTCATATCCACGTTATTTAATTGGATTATTTACTTGGATTCTTAAAGTATATATGAATACAAAATGTTGTGATTTGTCTACGAGTTTTTCATTTTCTTTTCTGATTTCTTTGTAAATGATTAATAAAATAGTAGTAAACGATCAATAATATGATATTAAATTTCATAATTTTAATACTAAAAATTTACATAAACTATTAATAAAGGATAAAAGAAATTTATGCTTCATATATCAATAGAATGAAGCTTTCGCTTTGTATAGGATATATTTTAAAAAAATCATTTATAAAAATAATTTTAAATTGAATAATATGGTAAAAAATAATACTTAAATTTTTTTTCTTTAATTTTTAGTTTTTCAAAATAGTTACTTTAATATCAAATTGCACTTTTGGCTTTTATACATAAAAAAAATTCCAAAAAGTGAAAAAAATTAAAACATAAATAGAAAAAACTGAATAAAAAAAATAACTATTGGTCTTTTAAAAGCAAAAGCAATGTCGGTTGTTGGCCAAACCTAAAAGAAAGTTGTTGAGAAATTAACTCCAACTTGCTTGACACTTCAGTCATTTCTTCCCCGTTAGTTTTACTTAAGCGTGAATAACGTTTTAATTTGTTGAAAGTCTTGTGCTTCGTTTTACACGCAAAGGCACGCACTTTATCTCATTGCAAAATTTTGTAAAGTACGTCGGCAACTTTCAAGAAAATGTGATTTTAATAATAAATTAGTTTATTCAAGTTTTAATTCCTGAAATTTACCATCGATGAGAGTAGAGAACAAAAGACACTAATACTCTTTTAGGCAAAAAGAAAAAGAAACCAAACAGAGTCTACGCAAGAACCTTGACTTGCCAAAGTTTTTTATGTTTACTTCAAATTAATTGTGTTATTATATTATAAAAAATTATTTTTTAATTTTATTTTATAATATATTTAAAAATATTAAAAAGATTAGTATAAATATATTTTCAATATTTTAATGATAAATTAAAATAAAATGCAGAGCCCACCAAACCTAAGATTTCTTGATTTCAACCGTGCTCGGCTCCTCTTAGTTCATGGACACCTTTTTTTTTTTTTCCTCAAATTATATATTTTAGAGAATTAAGAATACCAATTATTTTTGCAACTCCATGAATTACTCACTTCTTGCAAATAACACGATTAGGATGTTACTATTTTAAAATTTATTATATTTTAAGTGTTATATTAGAAATATTTAAAATTTAAGCATCATATTAAATATTTTATTATAATTTATAAATCATTCATAATATTAATTATTTTTATAATGTACCACCATAAACAGAATGTCGGCTATATAAAATAATGTAAATATTTTATAATAGCTTGATATTAGACTTGTCTATGTGTCAGACCATATGCTAGTCTCAATTCAATCAAGTCTTAAGCAAAATTTTTAAAGCTTTTAACAAGGTTTATTGCTTATTTTGTTCTCGTTAAACAATATTTGTTAATTTAATTTAAAATATATTTAAAAATAGTAAATTGTTAATATAAAAATCTTTTTAATGATAAATAAAAATGAATTGCAAAACCCACCAAACCTAAGAATTTTAGGTTTCAACCAAACTCGGCTCCTTTTAGTCCATAGACACCTTTTTTTTTTTTTTTTTCAAATAATATGTTTTTAGAGAATTAAGAAAGCCAATAATTTTTGTAGCTCCACGGTTAATCATCCCTTGCAAATACCATGATTAGGATGTTACTTTATTTTAAAATTTATAGATATTATATTGTTTTAGGTATGTTTAAAATTTAAATATCATATTAAATACTTTATTATAATTTAAAAATCATTCATAATATTAATCATTTTTATAATTTTCTACCATAAATTAGATGTTGTCTATATAAAACATTGTAAATGCTTCTATGATATCTTGTTATTAGACTATACTTAACCATTTGTGTATTCGTATCATTTAAATATCAAAATTTATGTATTTGTATTGTATTTTATATGAAAATTATATATCATAATTTATATCAACATAAAAATATAAAATATATATTTTTGTTTTTATTAAACTTATGTATAATTATTACTAAAATTTTACAATAAAACAAATATGTGCCTCTGCATGTAAACCAAGCAATAGAGTTTTATTTTCCACAAATTAAAACTTTGTTCATACTATCAATAAAGTTTTGTCTGAATAATAAGAAAAAGGGATTGGAAGCAATAGATTTTATAATCGAATCTCATGTATGTTGGATTTAATTTAATTCTATGTTGGTTTATATTGATTTGTTTATTGATTTTTCTTTAAATATACTATTTTTTTACCAATGATCAATCTTGATTAAAAATCATTCATTTCACTATCATTCTCTTAGTTGTTATAGTTGAAGTAGTTGTTAATTATTAGGTGTTTATAGACCCAATTATTATCTAGGCTATTGGTCAAAGACATTGATCCAATCCTAAATATGTTTTTTCTACCTAAGTAGATTTGTTCTAAAGTCAAGCTAAGCCTAAAAGCTCGTCAAATTTTGAAAAAGTTTAGACAAAAAATAAAAGTATATTAAATGGGCATGGGCACATTTTTATAAGCTTGTTTAAATTTCGGGTTGGGTATTGAAAAATTAAAATCCGAATCCGATCCGACTCAAATAAAATATATATAATTGAAATATTATAATTATATAAATATATATAAATATATAAAATTTTTTTATATATTTAAAAGAAGGATTTTCTAATTTTTGTTATATAAATTAGGTTTAATGGAGGGGCTTGGTATTTACTTTTTCAAATTTGGTTGACCTTAAAAAAATTTTTGAGACTCAAAATATCAGACCAAACCAAACCTAAGCAAGCATATAAACTATTAATATAAAAAATTGACCCAACCTAGATCAGCCTATAAACACCTCTATGCTTGAGTTCAACGTTGAGAATTTTATTTAACAAATAATAAATTTTAATTTTAAAATATTAATATAAAAATATTTTAACATTTTAATAACAAATTTAATAACAGGTAAATCAACTTTGGAGTATTTCACCTACAATTCTTTTTATTATAATTCTATAATTATTCAATTACTTAAAGAATTATGTATGGATCTATCACTTATAAATGTGAATTTCATATAAAATTTTTATAAATTTCATATAAATTTTAATTATAACTAGTTACTATAACAATTGTAAATGATATACTTTTTTATTTTATTTTGTAATTAATACTTTAGCTCGTAGTGTGACTTTTACATGAAATCGTGGAGTTTGGGTTAAAAAATTCTTTCCACCCTTTCCTTGTGGTTTCTTCTTACATTCTATTTCTTCGTGGAAAGAAGAATTTTTATTGCAAGTTCCATTTTCTTTTTTTTTTTTTTTGAAAAGCATTTCATATCTATTTTTAAGTCTATGAGACTATAACATCAAATATTATATTGATTGAGAGGATCTTGACATTGCTGTCAACATTGAAATTCACATTGCCGTGATATCCACGTTATTTAATTGGAATATATACTTGGATTCTTAAAGTATATATGAATATAAAATATTGTGATTTGCCTATAAGTTTTTCATTTTCTTCTTTATTTCTTTGTAAATGATGAATAAGATAGTAACAAACGATTAATAACATAATACCAGAAGCCATAACTGTGATTGTAAAATTTACATAAGCTATTTGTCATAACGTCTAGATCCGGGGATCTATCGCTAGACATTGGTTTTAGAGAGTCGCCACCAATCTTTTTT